CACCAATAATATAACCAATGCTTAATTAGATAATCACGAATGTAATATATGTGTTGTCTCCGATTTTAATAATTATAATGTAATCTTGTATTTTAACAATCATAATGTAATCAATGGGTAGTTTAGAATATAGGGTTTTAAAGTTTAATAACATGATTGTAGCATAGAAACAGATTTTAGTAAATCAGATATATTGATTTTGTGATTTTATTTATTTTTGTCAACAAATAATTTCTAAACATTTTCAATCAGAGCATCTCCAATGTTTAATGTTGTGGTGACAAATTACATTTCACATTAATATCACAACTTTTCATCCTCCAATGCACAATTTAATCACAAATGTTGTGATGATGTGGACATAACTAATTTCTACAATGTAGACAAGAATGTGGTTCATCCACATTCTCCTCCACACTCTAGTTAGCCAATAAAGAGAAGAGAGATAATTATTATTACCATTTTTAAACTATTTAATTGTTTAATTAATTTTATTAATTCATATTAAAATTTTAATATTTGGTAAGTAGATAATATGATAATTAGACTACATTGTGCATTGAAGATGATTTTTTAATTTAATAGTTGTGAACTCAACATTTATCCTACATGGTTCACAATCTATTTAATTTTTTGACATTTCTCAAAATTTATCCTACAACAACATTAGAGTATTGGAGATGCTCTCATATCAATAACGTGTTACATGGATCCTACCTTAAATAACAGCTAATCTAATTAATTAGATAATCACTAATATAATTAATGTATTGCTTAAAATCTCAGATTTTAAGAGTTCCTAATATAATCTTCGATTTTAATAATTATTACCGTAATCAATGTGTATTATGATTTAATTATTTCCTTAAATAATTAGCTGCAATTTCCATAAGTGATTATTTGAAATATACCCTAAATTATTAAATTACTTTCCCGAAATAGTAAATAGATTTTTTTGGAGGGAAATAGTTACTATTTAAAAAATAATCAATTTTTTTTGTATATATATAGATTTGGCTCCAATTAATTAAATAATAAATAAAATAATAAAGTACTGTCTGACAGCCAAGGACCCAAAAGTACGTAATAAATAAATGTACAAACAGGTTCTCGAGACTGATCACCCAGAAACCGCCTCCGGTAGACGCAATAATTGCCGACAAGACAGACGTCAATCGAAGCTGTCAGAAGTTATAGGCGGGCCCCCAACTGTTATCCCGCAATAATGCTATTGTATCATCTTTTTTATCTACCTATTTTAATCCACATGTATATATATGTGAGGGATAAGAGAGAGAAAGGGGGATTTTTCATTTTTTCATCCTCACAACTCAACAAGAAAGAGAAAAACTCTCAAACAATAAAAAGAGAAAACACCATTTTTATTCAACTTTTTTCTTCATCTTTACATAAAAAATTTAACTCGTATTCAACGGTTGATCGTCCGATTTTCGACATCAACAATATCAACTTTATTTAACTAAATCATTAAAAAAGGTACAATATTTTAAAATTATTGACTTAGAGTATTGCACCTATATAAAAAAATCTTAATTGAATGTGTTAATATAACTTTGTAATAAAGTTCAAATATTATTTTGTAATAAAGTTCAAGAATCACATCACCTTGATTCAAGAATCATATCACCTATATAAAAGATCTTTGAACAATATTTGTTAATAAAATTTAAAATTTGTAATTTAATTCTGTAGAATAGTTGATACATTTGAACGATAATGTAAACAACATCAAATCTAGAAATTAATTTGGTAATCCATATTTGGGTTCTAAATTTAAAAGTCAAATAAGTAATTATTCATGACTTACAGGTCAATATTAACTTGGATGTAAATGAAATAGTAAATTATTTATAGTTTAATAAATTAGTCAACTACTTAACTTTTTTAATTTGTATTGTATATACAAATATAAATTTATTTTAATTAATGGAACAATATAAGTTTTCTAATTGCACTTATTATTCTCATAGATGTTTAAATATATGATAAATTTTACCTAAATAATTATTTTATGGAATCACATTGTAGTCAAATCAAATTTATGAATACAAATTTTATAATGACAATTATTTTGAAATAAATAAAATACAATTTATTATCAATTACGTGCACCATACAGGTTGTACTAATTTTAGATAGACATGTTATATAATTTTCCACAATTTAAATTTCATATAACATTTTCAATAAATTAATATAGGTAAATTGTATTATATATTGATTCCCTATTTTAAATTTATAAATATTATTCAATGACCATTTTAAATTTATAAATATAAATGAATATCTCTTACCCGTACATCGCACGAAATTCGTAATAGTAAATTCAAAAACGGAATGAAAAGTTCAAGACTTTATTATTTGTTAAAAAGCACACTATTATGCTGATGTTCAATAATGATCGAATTGATGTGCATTCGATTTAACACTGTTGTGCAGTTCAATAGTCACTGACGTGTATCTCGTATAAAACTGTCGTGCATCGTCAGTATGGATTTTTTTCATGTGCAAATTTAAACTACCAATGAACCAATATAACTAAACTTATATATATAATAAAAATAATTTATTATTTATATTATATAGAATTATTTACTTTTCAATTATTTTTTAATATTTTATATTATTTTATTAATTTTATTTACTATGTTAATATATGTATGTAAAAAAATAAGTGAAAAAAAATTATTATTAATTTTAAGCAAATTACAGATTTGCCCAATGGATTTAATTGAAAATTAATAAAATTTCAAAAATTGCATTTAAGTCCTTAATACTTATCATATTTTTAAATCAAGGCCCATCATTCCATCACCGCCGGAAAACACAACCCTGCCTCTGCTTCTGTTGGAAAACACCACCCTGCCTCTTCGCCGCCTCCTTCCATCACCGCACACTGCCTCCTCCGCGCTTCCGTCTTCTCATCCATCATTTCCGCGATGCGCAGGCTCCCGATAGCGTATCCATGGCCGGCTTCGTCCTCAACAACTTCATCGGTCGTCTCGATTCCGACGAGGATACGGGGGTCGAAGGAGATGACTGACGACGAATTCAACCGGCGATGCGATGTGGTTGTCGTCTCCGGCGGGCTCCTATTAATGTATCCATGGCCAACTTAGTCCTCAACAACCTCATCGACCGCCTCGATTCCGGCGAGGATATGGGGATCGAGGGAGGCGGCTGACGACGGAATCAACCGGCGAGGCGATGTGGTTGTCTTCTCCGGCGGGTGTTCACCAGGACGTACTTCATATGTGCTGTCCCTCAGTCGCCAGAAACCGTCACGAGAGAGCAGCGGGACGGCGACACTGTGTGTAAGAGTTGGGATAGATAGCTGCCGGAGCCGGCGTGGAGGTCCGTCGGTTCTGCCGGTCGCCGTGTGTGTGTGTGTGTGTGTGTGTGTAAGTGTGTGAAACTGTGGGGGCTTTTTGTGTATGATATTGTGTATGTATGTGTGTGTGACGTGTGTGTGTGTGTGTGTGCGTGTGTTGGGTGTGTGGGTGTGTGTGGTGTGTGTGGGTGGGTGTGTCTGTTGAGTGTGTAAATGAGGTGACGTGGCACTTGATTGTGTGTGTGTATGAGAGAGATGGAATAAGATAGATGACATGTGTTAGGTGGACCTACGGGTGATTATATGTGGTGGCATATGGGGGTGTGGAAAATTACCGCATTACCTTTAATGAATGTATTTTTCGAAACGATAATAGAATATCTCATAAATAAATATAGTTCGTACACGGGATCATTTCTGACCACAATCCATAAGGATCAGAGGCGAGCTAGAAGCCACCTAGAAAACAGAAAACAACAGGATCAATACTAAACAAGTAGCAGCCGCGAACAAATGCGGAAACCTGCAACTTGAATACAGCCAGCAACCGAAGCACTCGACACTAAACACAGAAACATACTACAACTAAAAAGAAACAAAAGACAACAATAATCTACAGCAGCACATTACAACAACACCAAACAGACAAAACAGCAACAAGACAAATAAACTAGCCACTGCCAAGGCCTAGCTAGGAAAACAGAAAACAAAAAGGAGACAGAAAAAGAAAACCAGCAGCAAGCCTAATGAGGAAGGAGAGAAGAGCAGTACTCCAGCCATTCTTTAACAGCCATCTCCACAATGATCTTCTCCGGGGTTTGGACTTTCTGAAACACCCACAGGTTGCGAGTTTTCCATAGTTGCCACATAATGTATGTAGATAGCTGCATTCTTTCATCCACTGCCTTGTCCTTTTTTAATAAGCAGATGTCAGCCCACCAGTGTTTGAAGAGACCATCACTGTATGATAGGTTGCCCCATTGCACATGAAATAGCTTCCAAACTGTGATTGCTCTTGGACATTGGAAAAGGAGGTGTTCAACTGTTTCAGGCAGTTCTCCACAGAGCATGCAGGTAGTGTCTAATTCAAGGCCTCTTCTTTTGAGGTTGACAGCAACAGGAAGGGCTCCACTGAAGCATTTCCAGAGGAAATGTTTGACTTTGCCTTTGATATTTAGTCTCCAGCTCCTGCTCCTCATTTTCCTTAAACTACCAGCATTGGAGCTGTTTCCAGGTATGTCAAGCTTCAGGATTTTGTCTGCAATAAGCTGTGAATAGGTAGCAGCCACAGAGAAGTTTTTCTTTGCATCAAAGGACCAGGTTGGCTTATCAGGCAGGTGTCTGTTCCAATTTTTGATCTGCAAGATTGCATCACTTTCAGATTGAGAAAAGGAGCTGCAAATGAGTTCTCTATCCCAAGAAATACCATCTTCTGCAATGAGATCAGAAACCCAAACAAGGTTAGGGGAAGAGGGTGTTTTGGTTAACAGTTTGTGAGTTGAGAGGGTTGGAACCCAAGGGTGATCCCAGATTCTGGTTTGCCTACCACTGTGAACTTGCATCATAAAGCCCTGCAAGAAGGTTTTCTGGACTTTGAGCCAATTTCTCCATAACCAGGAAGCATTTTGATTGGGTTTTGCACTGAAAAAGTCACCAGAGGGGAAATATCTACTCTTGAGAACTTTGCTCATAAGGATGTCAGGTTTTGTGATCATTCTCCAAACTTGCTTCAAGATGAGTGCTTCATTGAAGACATGAAGATCATGAAAGTTGAGTCCTCCTGCAGCTTTTGGGAGAGAAAGAAAAGCCCAGGCTTTCCAGTGAATACCATTTCTGTTGGAACTCTGAGTTGACCACCAGAAGTTGGCAAAAAGTTTGGAAAGTTCTTGACAGATACCCCAATGGCAGTAGGAAGCATGACATAGTGAAGACTGGGAGTGCACTCAGAATTGAGTTGATGAGGACTTCATTGCCTGCCCCTGAGAGGAATTTGTTTTTCCAACTGAGCAGTCTTTTCTTGACAGCTTCAGTGACATAACTGAATGCTTCTCCTTTGGATCTGCCTATCCCAAGTGGCAACCCCAGATATCTAGAAGATTGGTGTAGAGAGATACCTTGGAGAGTATGGCAGATGGCAGTTTGAGTGGTAGTAGGTGTGTTTTTGCTAAAGAACACTGCAGATTTCAATAGATTAACTTGCTGCCCTGTGAAGCTTTTATATTTCTCCAACATTGAGAGAATGAGGTTAGCAGACTCAAGAGTAGCATGGCAAAACAGCAATGAATCATCAGCAAAGAAGAGGTGGCTGAATGTGGGCCCTTGCCTTGAAATTTTCAGACCTTTGTAAGAGCCAGTATTAAGTTCATGCTGAATTAAACAAGATAAGCTCTCAGAAACTAAGAGGAACAAGTAAGGGGATATGGGGTTGTAACGCCCCGTTTTATTTTAAAGAATTTACCGAATTTATTTGATAAAAATCAGAGTTATTTTTTTTTTTAAATCTAAATTAAAACATTTAGCGAGAAACGGGCGCTACTTATTAACCACAGCAAATGAACACATCCAATCAATCAATCCAAAGAACCTACACATGCTTAAGCTATCAAATAAACAGTCTCATAAAACATAAATCTCAAAATCATTTCCAAACGTCTAGCATTAAAGAAGGTTCAAACGAAACTCAAACATAGTTCGAAGGCCAATAAATAAATAATCCAAAGTATGAAAGCAAATGATTAAGTAACAAGTTCTTGCACAACACATAATCAGTATACGAAATCAAGCAGGGATATAAACACATAATAAAATATCCAAATCCAAACGAGAAAATAATTCAAGTCAAGTTTCAGTTCAACAAATCATAAACAGGCGGAAGCATAATACATCATCAAACAGTGACCACCATCTCGCTCGTCCTACGCCACCGCCTCCAGCTCGACTCAACCTAAAACAAAGGAAGAGAGAAAACAACAAAGAAAATAATGGGGGTGAGCAACCAACTAGCTCACCATTATCGCACGGTTATCTCGTATAATTATTTTAAAAGCAGTAACACAATACTCAGTATGCATAGAATCCAACAGTCTAAACCCCCTACCCGGCCCTATCGCAAACCTCCTATGTACATACAACAA